GCAGCTGGGAGTAATGTGAAAGAAAGGGCTAACAGAATGCTCATCCTCCTCCTTTCCTCTCTGTAGGGAACTTCATGGAGACATAAAGCAGTCATCTAAGATACCAGTTGCTTGCAGTAGGGCAAACAAAGAGAAAAGAGTCTTCCTGAATCAGTGTTATTTAAAAAAAAAAAAAAAAAAGAAAAGTAAGTTATTATCAAAGTCTATCAGAGATAACATCATCTGATTCCCAATTGCAAATCACTGCACAAGAATGGCACATTTCAAAATCAGCAATTAAATCAAAGTCAGATCGTTGCCATATCCTATATTTTGTTAATTCAAGACTTTGCAGTATGACTACCCCTCAGCCCATCACCCTGAGAGTCATCGCTGCTCTGGATATAAAAAGTAGAGCATGCTAAACCTTAACCCCAGCAAACATCTGTACATTTGATGCTGCATGAGCTATCAAGCAGCACAGATGTGTTTAGACCATGAAGGACCCACTCCTGATACAATTCTTTTAGTAGCAGTAGAATAGGGAGATAAGTGTGTAAGGAAAAAGGGATAAGCCACTGAATTGTCCAGCATGTCCCCTCCTCAGAGATATCTTCGGATTATGGGTTCTCGACATATATAATGGATAGAAATGCATATAAATTAAATTAATTGTTATGAACATAGATATTTGTAAAACCACTAAGGTCTACTCTGCCACGCCGGGCAGGGAGGACCCCGAGGCAGTGCAAGACTCAGCAATTCAGTACCTCGCACAGCAACTGGTGAAGAATGAATTGGACATTGCCCCTACTATAGGAGAAACTCTGAAGGCCATACAGTGGGTGAAAATTGGCAAGGCAGCTGGGGTTGATGGAATTCCACCTGAAGCCTGGAAGCATGGGGGTCAAGCACTCCATGCTAAATTTCACAAGTTCGTGGTGCGCTGTTGGGAACTAAGCGAACTACCATCAGACCTGTGTGATGCAGTCATCATCACTTTGTATAAGAAGAAAGGAGATAAATCAGACTGTTCAAATTACCAAGGTATTACTCTGCTCTCCATTGCTGGCAAAATCCTGGTAAGAATACTTCTGAACGGACTAATACCCACCATAGCAGAAGAACGTCTACCTGAAAGTCAGTGTGGTTTCAGAGCCAACAGGAGTACCACAGACATGGTATTTGTTCTCAGACAACTGCAAGAGAAGTGTATGTAACCTTTGTTGATCTCACCAAGGCTTTGGATACTGTGAGCAGAAAAGGTCTGTGGCAGATTTTGGAATGTTTAGAATGTCCCCCCAAGTTCCTTAAAATTATCATCTCACTCCATGAGGAACAGCACGGCCAAGTCAGATATGGCAACACACTTTCTGAGCCCTTTCTAATAACCAGTGGTGTGAAACAAGGCTGTGTTCTTGCACCAACCCTATTTACAATCTTTTTCAGTATGATGCTCCAAAGGGCCACGGCAGACCTCGATGAAGAAGATGGTATCTCCATTTGATATCACACCGATGGAAGCCTATTCGACCTAAGGCGACTGCAGGCCCACACTAAGACCTTAAATCATCTTATCTAGGAGCTGCTTTATGCTGATGACAACACCCTTGTTGCCCACACAGAAGTAGCTCTGCAGCGTTTAACATCCTGCTTTGCTGAGGCTGCTGAGCTTTTTGGGCTGGAAGTCAGCTTAAAGAAGACAGAAGTGTTCTATCAACCTGCACCTCAGGAAGTCTTCCATCATCCCCATATCACCATTGGCAAATCAGAGCTTCAATCAGTCCAGCAGTTTAATTACCTGGGTAGCCTCATCTCCTCAGACGGTAAGATTGACAGAGATAGACAACAGGTTAGCAAAGGCATATAGTGCTTTTGGAAAACTCCACAAAAGAGTATGGCGAAACAAACACCTGAAGAAAAGTACAAAGATCAGTGTTTACAGGGCCATAGTGCTGTCTACTCTTTTATATGGGTCCGAACCATGGGTCATTTACCCCTACCACCTACGACTCTTAGAACGCTTCCATTAACGCTGTCTCCCTACAATCCTAAAAATCCACTGGTCAGATTACATGACCAATACATCTGTTTTTGAACAAGCAGCAGTCACAAGTATAGAGGCCATGTTGATGAGAACACAGCTGCATTGGGCAGGGCACGTCTC